ATTTTTTTCAATCTCTTATTACGATAAAGGTTAATATTCCTTACTGTTGTGTATTCACAAAACAAATCGACTTCCTCACAAACGCTTTCGCACTAAGCGCTTCATTTGGATAAATTATCTGGCAGTCTTTACTATTTCACGACATTTCCCTTTCTTTCCCAATTATTCAAAAATCAATTGTTCAATGTCAATAATGAACGGTATAAAAAAAAGCAATATATTGTTTTGTTGCGCTTGATCAGTTAATCAAAAAACGTCGCTGTAATAGTATTGAACAGATGACAATCGATAATCTAGAATTCAGCTATTTCCATTATGCAAGTTTATCACAAAACAGTATCTAACAACTATTTAGATTACATTAAACCGACTGATCATGAAACTCACATTTTCACGGATCAGAAGAATTAGTAGCTGTCGGTGAAGCCGGAAAAATGTGTGAATTGCTTTAATTAGAGTCAATATTTCCCACGTGAATGATTTGTTCCACAAAATAAAATCAGTATTTTGATACTTCAAGTGATGAATCATTCACCTAAATCCAACTCTTCCAATTTTCTGGCCAATTTTAATTGCAACATTTAGATGTTCCAGACAAAGCTCTTTATTATAAACTTTTGCTAGTCTGTTGGTCAAACTTACATGCTATTGTCGGAATGTTGTAGAGAACTTATGTGCAAATATCTGGAATGTTAAACCATTCCCATTATAAAAGCAGCTAGGATCAATCATTCGGAGGATCATTTACCAAATCCAAAAGGTTCGAACAATTACGCAATCTCAGCTCACTGAGCTCGCACAATCACTCAAGGAGACAGCATAGTCAGGCACTCAAGCATTGTCGGATTACCAAAATTAAAGCTGTGTTCAAACAAACAATATCTAACAGACGGGATGATGAAATCTTGCAAGTAAAATTAAAGCAATAAACAGGAAATAAGCTAACGACAGCATAACATAAAGATATCTCACACAGCATAACACAAAGTATAACACTAATATTATATATGTATATATATATAAAATCCGAAACAATTTAGTTTTTACAACCGAGCAGACGATACATCCTCTTCGTTTATTCTCCACGACTGAACCGCAAACAGCGACATCTTCGCATATCCGCCACCATTGGACAACAAACTACGATATTCTTGCTATTCGCTAAATACATTTTCCGTAACATATCCCAAATGAACGACCTATCAACTAACTGACAGTCAAATTATTATCGAGGGCAACGACAAGGAATTTGTTAGTTGGTCATATTACTTGCTTTTTGTGTAACTCATTACTGCTCACCAATTCATCGTGTAATATATACATGTATATCTTACACCCTTTTTATTGTTAACTAATGATATTGCGAAGAACAATATTACATCCCGAATAAATCTATATCGCTGAGAAACGAGTTCAACAGATTAGCTTTCCCTATAACCATGACAGTGGTCCAGTGGCAGAGAAGCAGTAATAAGATAATTCAACAACGCGAGTGACAAAACCGTTTGGTATCCTTTAATACCAACTGTGTATTCTTCGTTTCGTCCCTATTATTATTTCAGTACGATATTTTACCATATTGTATAGGACAATAAAGGTTACTGTAATGCTCCGGATTTACAATAACAAAAATAAACCACGAAATCTTTTCCCGATAATATTCGACTTTTCGATTTTACGTACCATTTCCCGGAATCTGCGCTGTGTTCTATCTTTTCTTTTAGCACGAGGCAATGGGTTGTATTATGTGATAATACTTTGATAAAACCTTTGAGTGGTGAGTTACTTTAGGAACCTTAAAATATGCAGATCACAAATTGAAGCATTGCAAATTTGACTCCTGCTGATTCCAGATAATCTAACCCGATCTTCTGAAATACTTTGGAGAGGTTGGAAGTGTCTTACATAGCTCTACTATCTTTAAACGATGGTATGTGGAATAGCCGAAGAAATTGCGCATCCCGAATATTACGAGAAAATCGAGGCAGCTTTCCTCACTGCAGTCTGACCTTTAGACATCGAATACTTGACTGGTAATCGGATCAAGATGTCGGATTAAAGTAACATTGTAGTAACTGTGGGTATTATGTCCACAATAGGCACTTTTTGCCAAATAGGATTTTCTTAGTAAATATGTCAATGTAAGTAATGCCGGTAAATTGAGCAAGTAGCTGACTACACCTCCTTTTTGTTTTTTCTTCCTAATCGATGATTGTTTCCCTGCGACATCAAAGCCTTTTCTACTCTTTTCTACTTCTAGTCTTCAGCTATTACCAAGCTTCTTCCTTTTGTCCTTCGCCTCTTTGAATACAACCTATCATTAAAATAAGAAGCATTCAGAAAAGTTATGCTAAGACTTTTTTTTCTGAGAAATACAACGGTAAATATTAAAAAGAATTAGTGTTTCTAACAAGTC